GGGGGGGGGGGGGGGGGATCAAGGCTGAGTACTTTTATTCATTTAATTTTTATTTTAGAATCATATTTTTAATGTTTTTAAATCTCTCTTAACCTTTACACATTAATTAAAATTATCATTCACTTTGTTTCAATTTAAATGACAAATTTCAAGAGTCAAACTTTTTTACTTTGACATATATTCAAACGTATAATCTGTAAGATTTTTTAAATAATAATGTACATATTTAGAAATTATATAAAAAAAATATTATAAGTCACAAAAATTAATAATTTAAAATATTTTAAAAACATATCAATAAATTGTGGTCAAATATTTTTTGTTTGACTCTTGAAATTCAAATTATATCATAAAAATTGAAACAAAAAAGGGTAATTAATTAAAATCATTAATTAACATCCTAATTAGATTGGATGGATAAAATTAGCCCCTAAGAGTGTCACCTGACATTCTTTTTAAAAACTAAAATGGAGCATGGACAAGACACACTAACTAATCATCACGGTGTGTTTTATTACAAGGGGAAGGGGAATGATAATTTAAATAGGTAAATAGCATATAGTTGGAATATGAAACTTACAAAAAAGTTTAAGTGTTTGAGATTAGCGTTAAAATCAGAAATAATTTTCTCTTTCTGAAAGAAAATAAAAGAGTGACTATAATATTATTATAGTATTTAAATATAATTCAAAGATATAAATTCAATCCAGTCAGAATGAAATAGTTTATAAGTTATTTTCAAGATTTAATTTTTTTTTTTACAAAAAGAAAATAAAAGACTGGTCATAATAATATTGTAATGATAATTAATTTTTGAAAATTAAAGAGTGACTATAATACTATTATAATATTTAAATCTAGTTTTAAAATATAAATTCAATTCAGTCAAAATGAAATAGTTTTTAACTTATCTCCAAGATTTACAATTTTCTTTTTACAGAAGAAAAATAAAAAACTAACCGTAATAATATTGTTATAATAATTATTTTCCAAAAATAAAGGAGTGTCTATAATACTATTATAGTATTTAATTCTAATTCTAAGATGCAAATTCCGTTCAGTCAAAATGAAAGAGTTTATAACTCTACTTCAAGATTTATAATTTTTTTTACAGAAAAATAAATAAAAGACCGATCGTAATAATTTTAAATTTTGTTTTTTATATCTAAATTAAAGTCTAATTATTTAATAACATTAATAATGTAATTTTGGTACAACATTAGCTAGCATTAGCTAGAAAGAAAAAAAGCAAAATATAATAAATGCTATATAAATTATTTATCCCACTAATAATTTTTATTCTTAAAGATTCTATATAATTTTTCTTGACCACTTTTACTAAATTGTATTAGAAATTTATTGAAAAGGGCAAAATAATTCTCTAAATAGAAAAATAATTAATTGTTTAGATTTTATTTTTGGATTTATCATTTAACATCAATTGCATTAGTTTAGTCAGTCAAACTACACATTAAGTGCGACCATATCTACTTGCAAGTGAGAGTCTCACTGCCTATAAATTCTTCTCACAATCCGTAGAATTGACGTGCATCATTCAAGTCATTGACGCTTTTTGAAGAGATCAAAAAGGTAAACTCGATCTCTATTTAGAATTTTTTTTAGAGCATTTTTTAAACTAATGCATCTGACGATTTTTTATGTGAATAATTCAAAGTCTTACTTCTGATATCAGATAAGTCAGATAGGTAAGCTAAATTTCTTAGAAAAAGTCTCAAATTTGGCTTGATTTTGAATATTTATGTGTTTGACATTGTTTTCTCTTTTTCTTCTTAGAATGTCGAGTTCCAACCCTAGATTGTTCCTATGCCACATATGTTACCGAATCATTTTCACTTATCATGAATTTATGATTCATGTTCAATCTCACCCAATTCAATTGCAACCACAAGTTCATATATCAGAAGGTTCAAACAGGCTGAATTTAACACCACTGTCAATACTTGCACTACCAACGCAAAATGCAAGATTACTGAGAAATGATAGACATGTATTGCCACAAGAAACACCATCATACAATCGTTGGTTACAACCACATCCACACATAGCAGAACGTTCAAACAGACCGAATTCAACATCACAGTCAAGACTTGCAATACTAGCACAAAATACAAGAATTATGAGAAATGAGAGACACGTGTCACGAGAACCATCATCATATCATCGTCGTCCAGTCTGGCCCATGCATGTAACTCGTGGGGCACAAACGTTGATGTCAACAAGAAGTAATCAAGTCAGGGTTTCAAATTCAACTGATACAAATCTGACTGGAATTTCTCCTGAATCCATCACAAGACCTTTCATAGATCAGTTGGATGTTCCTATTCAACACATACCTCATGATGATAATGAAAATAATGGGTTAGATCTAACCTTAAAGCTTTGAAGTCAAGAGTATCCATGTCTGAAGGTTGTAGTTTTTTCTTTCTTGTGTTTTTCTATATTAGACCAAGTGGCAATAATTTGAATAATTTCTTAGATAGTCCAATTTTTTGTTTTTGTTTTACTTTCTTTTCAGAGTGTTATTGACCGTGCAATAGAAAATTTCATCTTTCTTACAATTCTAGAAACTGTTATTTCTATTTCAATTTGTTTGTCTTACTTTCCTTTTTAGTCTATTAAAAAAAGAATGTTTAATTCATTTTTTGACAACTCTTTAATTCTTTTTTTTCACATATCACCTTTAATACCACAAGATGAAAGGACATTTTAGTTTTTTTTTTACATATTGTTAATTTATGATCACAAGATATAAAAGTATTCTTTACTTTTTTAAACTCCATAAAAAAATTAAAACCTGACAAACAAATTGAAATGGATGAAAAAAAAATTTATCATCCCAAACTCATACAATAATGTATGAATAAACAAAACTTAGTACATGTAGTATTTATACTTGGTACTTATCATTTGTTACTTTCGATTTTGGACCTTAAATTTGCCCATGAAATAAATGGTGGTAACTAAGTGAAAATTCAATTATTATTCCTTCCTTTCCAACAACATTTTAATTAAAATAGTCGATAAAATTTAAGACGGAGAAAGTGGTGATGCTCTTTAATTGTATATGCTAGTTTGATCTTTGATCATCTAGATATCTCTTAAGCCGCTTTTGGAATTGAAATCAAATAGCTACATTTTTTGTGATCTTCTCTATTAAAATCGTTCACCTTGCACTCATCAACCAACCCCGAATATGTTTAAAATAAAGATTACTAGGCCCCTAAAATATAAGAAGTTTTCTCCTCATATGGCTCGAGATAAATGATTGGTTCAAGGTCTTATCTCTATATGAAATTCCATCTCTGAAATGAAAATTGAATCTATAAATATAAAATGATCAAAAAAATTCAAACTACTTATTTTTTAGGATCATAATTTAATTTTTCGGATGTATTGCTACCTTGACAAACTTTCCCCTTAAGAAAATTCAGTTAATATCATGTAAATCGATGATCAATTAAATTGATAAAAATAAATACTACTTTCTTTATTATTTTTTTTTTTTAAAACATTAATTATCTCAGACATTGTTTTTTTTTAAAAGAAAATTAATGACTCCATCTCTTGTGACTTGAGATTATGTAATATTTAAGATAATTTGCAAGAATTAATTTTTATTTATTGCTGATAAAAAAATACTGGCTCTAGTAATTTATCAACCCTCTTTTTAAGGTTAACATCTCATGCTTGGTATAGATATAGTCATTAGATAAATCTTAACTTATTTTTAGATACAATAACACCTTTTTACCCCAAATTTTCTTACTATTAAATGTGGTAAAGATTTATTTTCTACCTTTAAAAAATCATCTTTCATTCTTCTATTATTATTATCATTTGATATTTAGTAAATTGCATTTATAAGTCTTTAAACTCTCTAGCTATATACACCACTATATTTGAACCAAAAAAAAACAGAATAAATTTCTATTCCCAAAAAAAAAACAAATTCTGTCTTTCTCTATACATTTTATATTCTCAAAATCTTGTTGTTTATATAAAATCTCATTAACATCCCCAAATAACAAAGTTAAGTGCCTCATTTATCAAAAAATAAAATTTGAAAGGTGAAAACATGGGCTTTAAGGATTTTCAACTCAAGATGGCCAAGGTATATGTTCTTTTTTGTTAATCTATATACATTTTGTTTAATCTTTTTTATACTTTAATTATCAATAAATTTTTGAAGCAAAAACATGTAATCACTTCTAAATCGAGAATTTTGATTTATCTTTAATTGTTTTACCTAAATTGCACTCAATTACCCTAATTTAATTTTTTAAAATCCATTGTTAGAGTCCTAAACTAGCATAAATCTATCAAGGTTGTAACAATGTTTGAATTTATTGTTATATGTTACAATTCAGAGTACTAGGGAAAATTCACATGTCTATAGGTGCATTCATCTGTTATTTTTTACGTATATACAGTAGATGTTGAATTCCCTTAGCTTTTTCGTATATTTGAAACAGTAGATGTTGAATTCTCTTAGCTTTTTCGTATAATTGAAACAGTAGATGTTGAATTTCCTTAGCTTTTTCGTATGTTTGAATCTCCTTAGTGAAAATTCTAACTTGGTTTGACGTTTTTTCAATTTCTAAGTTTTTTGTTCATTTTTGATAGAAACTTAGGCTGAAAAAGTTTATTGGCAAAGAAGGAGGAAACAAGAAGAAAGGATCAGGAAATGGGAAGAGGCTTCCATGGATGATGCCAATAACTCATGGATATTACGTGGCGGAGGAAAGCCGCGACGGAGCAAGGCCACAAACGCCTCAAAGTAATAAGGTGGAGTGTGATAAAGTGGTGGTGCAAAGGGAACAAGTTGAGGAACAAGAGTGGTGGTTTTGTGGTGTTTTTGATACTCGAATTGGGGGCGGAGTTACCAAGTACCTGCAGGCTCATTTGTTTGACAACAATCTTAATGAGGTAATTAAAAAAACATGATCTTAGGATACTATGCTTCACAATTTTCTTGTGTTTTGTTTGATAACAATGAGCATAGATGTGATCGTTGTTTATTTTGTCATTTAGGTAAACAAAGCATGAAAAATAACATGTTTTTAGGATTCCTAGTTTCACCTTTTTCTTGTGTTGTTTTGTTTTGTCATCTTGTGTTGTTTGTCATGCTGCTTCTTGCAAAATTGTTTTTTTTATCTGTTTAAAGGTTGAATTAAGGCATCCAATGGTGTAACCTAGTGATCATAAGGTCTCGGATTTTTAAAGGTTAAGAATCATGATGTCTCGAATTTAACTCTCAGCAGGGACAAAAAATACTAGGTGATTTCTTCTCATCGGTCCTGACCTGCCTTGGTGGACAGAGTTACCTTGTTGGTAGGAGGTAACAAGTATCACTTAGAATTAGTCAAGGTGCGAGAAATACCAAGGTTATAAGAAGAAAAAAAAAAGAGGTTGAATTAAGGTTCACATAAAGATGAATTTATTTAATCCCATAATGTTTCATATTCTCAAATTGTTTTTATCTGTTTAAGCTTGAGTCAAGGTTTTCATTTGTATGTCACAGAAATGTTACAAATTAAGAAGTCTATGAAGCTATAATGGTAGATATTTACAATATGTATATACACACATAAAAAAGGCGCGTTTTTCGCACAGCTAGCTCATAGTGCAGGTCTCACTCGTATAATATCGTATTTGGCCAGACTGACTCACTCACGTACTCCTTATCGTGTATATTGTATATGGACGGACTAACTCACTTGCCTACTTCATACTCGCCTACTCCTTATCGATCTATATTTAATACTTTCTTCCATCTACGTAATTTAAAGGACAAAAACAAGAATGGAACCGTAAGCTCCTGTGTAATGTATGTTGTTGTGTGTGTGTGTTAGTAGCATTGGGAAAATTTTAAAAAGCCCTCAATGATAATCAATATGATCACCTATGAGAGGTCATTTTGATTGTTGGGCTAATATCTTCTGTTTCTTTTAGTGTATAATCAAAAGGCATATTTTATCGTCCTACGATTTCTGTTACTTTCTATTGTCTCTTGTACTTCGACATCTGCTTTGATATGCTTTTCCTTGAACCGAGGGGTCTATCGGAAACAACCTCTCTACAGTCTACCCTCCCCAGACTGGGTATGTTATTGTTGTTGTAGGCATATAGTTAGAGGTGTTTAGCTCATTTTTTGCGTCTATTTTCGTACAGTCACAGATGAAGAAGAAAAGCAAAGAAACATTGAAAAAGGCACATGTTCATGCAAAAGCTAAGGTCAGGGAAACAGAGAAACTAGAAAGCACCTGGAAAATGGGTTCAGCTTCTGCATTAGTCATCAATGGCGAGAGGCTAGTACTCGCGAACATGGGTGAATACAAAGCTGTAGTATGCAGAGACGGCGAAGCTTTTGAAATTAACAGAAAGCAACAGCAAACAACAAAGCCACATTGGTCACATAAGCTCTTCTCAGGTATGACATAATAATATATCATCCTTTGTGAAATTTCCTTTTGATGTAGAAAGAACTATAGCCTGAGTTTATCGTTTTTTGGTTCGTATCAGTTGCCAAACGCTCACCTAAAGCTGGAGCTGATAAGCCTTCTAAAAGGTCGGAACTTGTTGTTGGTTCTGAAAGAATTGATCGCGATACTGAATTTGTTATCCTAGCTAGCCCTGGCGTATGGGAGGTAAGCTCAAAATCCAACATTTCAACAAATAAAAAAGAGTTAATAGTCAGAAACACACCTAAAGTATCTTGTTTTTTCGAGTTTTATACCTGAACAACTATCAGTTATTCCCTTTTCCTACCTGAACGATAGTTACTCACACACCTGATAGTTCATGTATGAAACTCGAAAAACTAATATACTTTCGGTGTAAAAAGAAAGAAAACGAACCTTTGTGGCGACTGTTGATATCTGATTGAGAAATTTTTCGACAGGTAATGAAGCAGCAAGAGGCAGTGAACCTGATTAGGCATTTGGAAGATCCACAAGAAGCTGCAGAATGTTTAGCAAAAGAAGCGATAAATAGAATGAGCAAGAGCAATATTTCTTGCCTTATCATTAGATTTGAGTGATGCAGAAATGAGAGTTTGTGTAGTACTAGCATTTGTGAATGAAACTACACATTTCATCAACTTTACATACTCTGTATGAGTAATGCTTCCCATTTACAGAACTGGGAAGTTATATTTATATATTAGGAGTGATATATTTTTAGCATATTAAAGTTTGCTTTTTTCAAGCAATACTTCTGTAAGCTCAAGCTAGGATCTCAGAACTAGTTTTGGCAATGTCAAGAAAAAAAGAATTTCTAGATTATTACTTCTCTTCTTACTGTTTTTCATTGAATATTCGTTTTTCTTACGAAACAGACTTAAAGATATGAGCAGTGAAGATTCATATAGTCGACCTGAATGTGTTGAGTTGTTGTAGTGGATATTTTTTCCACTTTTATATTCATTCCAATAAATTTTTGGCCTTAACCTCCTTGAAGCATAAGGTTAAACAGCAATACCATGCTTAGTATAGTCCTACAAGTGGGGTGTCGAGATGGTAAGGTGGACACAGACTTTATCAATATATTTGTGAGTGGGGTAGAGAGGTCGTTTCTGATAGACTCGGCTCAAGGAGATAACTTTTTTGAGAAGATTTGAAAAAATTGCAAGAGACAAAAGCTATGATGGAAATATTGAAAGCTAAAATTAGCAAATATAACCAAAGTAAAAGAAACACCAGTAATAATAAAATTGAAGGACAGTATAATGTTAGTAGGGGATTAATAGGTGCTCCAAAGTAGAACCTTACTCTTTACCACTGAGGAGAGAAAATGCTCGACGACCTACTAACCATCTGCCTAATCATCGATATCCATACTCTTCTATCTAAGTCCTCGATGAGTTGAAAGTGCGTATAGCATATCTAATCACATCTCCCCAATTCTTCCTCGGTCTACCTTTATCTTTCCTCAAACCTATAACCGCCAACATCTTACACCTCTTCATTAGGACATATATTGTCCTCCGTTCACATGTCTAAACTATCTTGTCTCACTTCCCCCATCTTGTCCTCCATAGAGGCTACTCCCACCTTGCTTTGTATATCTTTGTACACTGAAAACTAATGTTTGAACCCCTTATAGTTGCCTTATTGAAGAGAAATTTTATTTTACTAGAGAACAATACTTTGAAGACTAAAATTTTCAAGAGCTAAGTCAATGAGGACAGTTTAATGCATTTTTCTATGGATGGTGAAAGAAAATTCTAAATGAATGACAGTAAAGTTTTGATACCTTGAAGCAGTAAATATACAATAGGAACTTGCAAAAATTTCACTGCAAATCCAAACTGTAGAGTACATTGAAAGCTGACATACAGTCGAAGGTATATACATTTCTCATCTTAACACAACACATCTTTACAGTAACTAAATTTGCAAAAGAAACTGTTTTGGGAAGTCATAAACAGCTGTGACTAATCACACCTCCAGCTGACAACCAGAGGAGCACTTGAATAATCTTGATACTGAATGCTGTCACCTATTCTCGCTAGTCTTGCTTCGAAAGGGAGATAACAAAGAGAGGCGAGCTGTATCCAAGAACAAACACCTCAGTTTCTCATTCATCAATATAAATAATAAACATGTAAAACTTGAAGATAACATAAAATCTTACACTTCTGTGAAACATTGCCAGCAGTTGGGGTTTCATCTTGGGAGATCAAATTCTTCAAAGTGAAAACTGGAAGAGACAAGGTATAAGGTCAGTTTATAGATATTAACGAGCAACACGGGAGAACAAATTATTGTGGATTCCATACATGAGGCGGCGTGTTGAGAATATAATATAAGTATGTAAAAGTGTGCTCTCTCTTACAACTTAAACCTTTAGATGAGACGGTCACACACTTCAACACATGAATTTCAATTGTGCAGATGGGATTAGAGCTAAGCATTCAGGATTAAGTCACAGTTGTCCATTGAGTCCTCTAGAGTAAATCTCCCCAAAACTGTGCATGATGTTGAAAGACATGCCAGCCAAGAACTGCTTCCCCCATTCTTCTCAACTGACAACCCAACAGTACTAATCCCCTACCCTTACACCACTCCTTTACAATCACAAACAGTTCTCTATTAAACTTGTTTTCTTCTCTTTTTATATCTTATTTTACTTGTCCTCTTGTTCTCTGATTTTGATGCTCCCTATTTGGCAAAAAGCAACACGCAGTGCTAATTAAGAATTTGGTGTCTAAGACCAAAACCAAGCAAAGACACCATCCCTGCCTGGCTGCAGGCTCAAATGATAGCTGGTCATAAACTTCATTTTTGGATTTATAAGAAAACTAATATTATATTTTTGGATAAGAACATCTTTATAATGTAAATAGGAAATGTGTCAATCGATGTTTTCCACTACGGCTATCAAATTAAGAGATCTGAAAGATCGTTACCTTCACTAGGCAAGGGAGCATTTGTGGCACTATCATCCTGCTTCATGCTATTCATGCTTGCACCATTTGATTCTGCTCCTCCAGAGGTGTGGTTCTTCTTTCCAAACCTCAGGAGGCGTTTAAAACCTTTTGGTGATTCCTTCACTTGAGTCCTTTCTGCAGCTTCTGGATTGTTATCTACTCTAACAGTGTGAATATCAGGTGCATGAGCTTTGGCAATTTCTTTAACTGTTGATCCTATGTCTGAGCTCGATGGGAATGCTTTAGCAAACTCCAAGTTTCTGGTACAAGGGTCCTCTACAGATGAGACACGAGCATACGGAGCACGATAAACAGTACTTCCGATATTTGCAAACTTGGGTGTGTCATCTGCACAATTCGTCCCTGTCTGCAAATATTAAAGGTGGAAGATTCAATTTCTGATGTTCCATATGCACGGCTAATTCTTCTTTTCTTGTTTTTGAGAATGAACAAGTAATGTTAATTCAATAAGAGCTCAAACAAGCGAAGCAGAAATTAAAACTTTTAGCAATTAAACATACGCTAATGAGAATAACCCCATAGGGAACCATGAAAAGCATAAAATTAAATCCGCTGGCATATAAATGATTACAAATATCCATAGGAGCAACATGCAACACCAATATATGATTTCTCTCCTTTATCAGTAAGTTTTGTTTAGATGTATATTCTAAGTTTTCCAGACAAGGCTGTTTAAGTGAAGATATATTATTTTTTTCCAGTTAAGCTTATGCAGCTGAAAATTAATTTAAAACCAACATGTAATTAATTGAAATGATAGCTCCCTCACATCACAGAATATCAACAGATCAGGCACCCAAGAACACTAAAATGCCCCTAACCCCGCCGCCTCGAATACCCCTTCTTACCCCATGCCACCGAAGAAAAAAGAATCAAATGAGATCAAGTAGATTCATATTCCAGATAAAACTAAAACGTCAATTTTGAAGCCGATTAGCAACTTTCTCAGTAAAAAGATAAATTAAGTTATCTATGCTGCTTCTGGAAAAAGGTTTGCTAGATCAAGAACATTTTTAATGAAGAAAATCACGGACATTTTATCTTCATGATCTACTCATGGTAACTGTAATTACCATATGATCAACTGAGATACTAGTCACTGAACTGTAAGAAATTTTAGTAATTGTGTTGTGTAAATGGAAACATCAAAGAGTACCAGCTCTTGATTTTACCCAACTCTAGTAGTCTTACCTCATGGGAATTTGACAGCTCTTGCAGTCGGCTAGGAGCAGGTGCTCTAATAAATCCTTCAAAGGGTGACGGTGGGTCACGTGTAGAGGCATAGTCAGTTCTCTCAACACTGTTAATGTTGTCACATTCTGCCATAGCCAAGTTCTCTGATGATGAACTGGGAACAGCCAAAGAGGGCTTCTTCTCCTTCTCAAGCATAACAACAGTTTTCTCAATAATGTTTTCATCTAGATCATTCTTGTATGATTCAATGACTTCATATGCTACAGAAGGCCTAACATTCTTCTCCATAGCTATGTTCTCCGCAGCTGGTTTGTCTTGTAGTAAATCTGACGACTCTTTGGTGGTTCGGATTTTCAGCTCAGGAAGAGTTGCAGCCTTCTTTTTGTCAAGGTCTATGATGGCAGATATTTTCTTGCTCTCAGGCACATCAGAGCGCTTTGTCTTAGACACTGGTTCGGCACTCCGAGCCTTGGGCTTTGATACAAGTTCAGCACTTTGTGCCTTCCGTAAGGTACCAGGCTTGCTGCTGATTGCTTTGGGCTCTGATAGTCTTCTTATTCGTGCCATGGATGCCTTTGAATCAGGAGTAACATCATTGTTTTCTTTTTTCGGTTCAGACAAGGATGATGCTGATCTACTCAATTTGTTACCAGCCAATTTGCTGCCATCAGTTGATTTGCTGGCTTTAGAGCCCTTTTGCACACCATTTGACCCCAACGGAGTTCTTATTTTGGTTCTTTGCAATGGTGACAAGGATCCAGGCTCTGAGTCACTGAACTTAGATCCCCTGAAGGTGCCAGGAGAGCTTTTTGCTGGCAATTTTCTTGTTTGGATTGTTGGTGCTGGAGAGTGACCAGAGCTGGGGCCACCTCTGGATGCAATTCTCTTTTGCCTTTCCAGTTTTAATGCTTCAATGCGCTTTTGGTCTGCCTCTTCCTGCAAAATTTTAAAGTTCCACCTATTAAACTCGGAGGAGAATATATCATAAACAGGTTAGATTTCCCAGAAATATCAAGCTATATATCAATCACTAAAATCGTCTACTGTGGAAAAAGGGGGAAAAGTGAAAAAAGGTTGAGTCAGTGCACCTTTTCTTTTTTCATCTTCTGCATATCAGCTTTGAAGGATCTTATCCTCTCAGCACGTGCTCGTGCATCATCCAAAGGACTTGACTTTGACATTTTTCCTTTTCTTATTGGTCCTCCACTCCTTTTCTTGTCCGAAGTATCAACAGTAGCTTTTGACCTGCGATCTTTCTCTGATTTTTTTGAATCTTCCTTAACATCATTGGAGACTCCATTCTTTCTTTTATCCTTTGAAGCAGAACCTTCATTGCAAACTTGCATTTCATAGTCTAAAGCAGGGTCATAGACACCCAACCTTTTCTCTGTTCC